TTTTTAAACTGTTTTTAAAATTCAGTCCCTCAAACTGACAGCAGGACTAACTTGGATGCTTTTCTTTTTCTCTTTGATGATTTTCTCTATAAGTTAACGACAAATGTGTGAAAGAAATAGACTGATAACTTTGCAGTTATTACCTTTTACCTTTCTAACTGCTCTCCTGTTGTGTCATACAGTACACAGAATACCGAGTCAGAGTTCACAAAGTTAATAAGTATCTTTGCCGGTACAGCTATTAAAATACGCTGCAGACACATTTTCAGCAGACAAACAGCCACCATGGAGCCTCGTGTCTCTGTCTGCGTCCTGCTGGTTCTTTGTTTATCGGGGAGTGTGACTGGAGGAAAGATTYTGGTGTGGTATACAGAGGCCAGCCACTGGATCAACATGAAGACGGTCCTGGAGACACTGGTGGACAGAGGGCACCAGGTGACGGTCCTGGTCCCGAGTGCDTCATTGTTCATGAACAGCAGCGAACCCTCTCGCTTTCAGTACGAACCCTTCGAGGTCTCCATTTCACTGGAGGCTGTAGAGGAGTCTATAGATAGGTTTATTCACTTTTCCATGTATGAAATAGATTATTTGAACTAYTTTCAGATGTACATGAAATATATGGATATCATGAGGCTTGACTTRCAGGATTCTCTCAAGATGTTAGAAGGTGTGGTGAAATCAGAAACCATCATGAAGAAGCTGAAGGAAGGAAACTATGATTTGCTCCTGGCTGATCCMATCTACCCTGGGAGTGAATTAACTGCGGACATTCTGGGGATTCCTCTGGTGTACTCTTTGCGTTTCTCCTTAGCTCATAACTGGGAAAGACTGTGTGGTCAGCTTCCTGCTCCCCCCTCCTTTGTCCCTGGTGCAATGAGCAAACTAACAGATAAGATGGACTTCTCAGAAAGACTGTGGAACTTYCTCTTCTATGCTCTGCAGGACATTGTTACAGAAAACGTTTGGTGGAGCCAGGTAGATAAACTTTATTCAGATGTAAAAGGTAAGCAACTCAACAGAAATCAAACAGCATCCATTACTGACCACATTAAGGCTTTTTCCCCTTATTGTCTTTGTTATTGAAGTTTTAGCATTTYTCACTTGTTAATTGAAACAGGAACACCCACCAGTGGTTGTGAGTTGATGGGTAAGGCAGAAATCTGGCTGATGAGAACCTACTGGGATTTTGAATTTCCTCGTCCATTCCTTCCCAACTTTAAATTTGTWGGTGGAATCCACTGCAGACCTGCTAAACCTTTACCAAAGGTGGGCCAATCAAAATCTCATTACAGCCGTTAAAATGCTGAGCTAAGGAGAATAATGATCGATTGCTGGCTCTCCTAAGTTGTGATATTAAAATTCTTGCAGAAAATGGAAGACTTTGTGCAGAGTTCTGGAGATGCTGGTGTTGTGATCTTCACTTTGGGATCCATGATCAAAAACGTCACCACAGAGAAGGCAAACTTGATAGCATCAGCTTTGGCTCAGATTCCACAAAAGGTCAGAAAAATCCTAAAAACCTCATGTCAGTCAGATTTATTTCTAAAATACAGCATTTATTTGATACAGATTAAGTGCAGTGTTAATCTAGTTTTTGTGTTATGTTAGGTAACTTTTTACAGTTTGTACAAAGCAGTCAAACTAATATGTAACACGGTTTCCTATTTTTATTAGCTGAATTATTTTCTGATGAAGCATTTCATACTCTTTAGTCTGAGGCAGCTGAGCTGTTCAGAAATCCATCTGAGACAGAGATCGACTTCTCCAGACAATGAATCAGGGTCCTCAAACTTGATTCCAAACCCTAATCTGTGCATGACTGAAAAGAAATGCAAGTTCTTTTATAAAATATTACATATTTTCTTTTCAGCAGAGCATGTTAAAATTGTGTTAGAAAATGGTTTTGTGGTCCACTTTATTTACAGGATTCTGTTTAATCCAAGTTTGGATCTTGACAGTTGTTTATGCCGTATTGTCTGTGTGATCACAATGATGAAGATGATTCATTTAATTTATTAAATTGTTTATATTTAGTTTGTTAGCAAAAACTCTAAATTTGAACAAAGCTGATAACAACCTCTGTATTAACACTTTAATTTGTGTAGAAAATATACTGAYGAGCAAGATTGTCATGACCTTGGTTTAAATCTATTTAATAATAATTTGTAGGTACTGTGGCGATACAGTGGAGAAAAACCAAAACTTCTGGGTTCCAACACCAAAATTTACAAATGGATCCCTCAGAATGACCTGCTGGGTGAGCAGAGTTCAGCTTCCAACACATTTACAAACATCTTGTTGAACAGATTCAATAAACAGCAGGATAAATCCTTTCTACTAGTTGTGAAAATGTATATTACTTTTATTGTGAAATGACAACCGGAAGGCTAAAACTGTACTCTTATACTAACTCTTGCTCGCATCAGGTCACCCGAAAACCAGAGCTTTTATCACTCACGGTGGAACAAATGGGATTTATGAGGCCATCTACCACGGTGTTCCCATGGTGGGAATCCCCATGTTTGCAGACCAGCCAGACAACATGGTGCACATGAAGGCCAAAGGAGCTGCAATTATTCTGAACCTGAACTTCATGACAACTGAGGAACTCCGAGACGCAATCAAAACCGTGATCAACAACAAATCGTAAGTTCCTGAGCCAGTCTGAAAACGTTATTATTCACGAAGAGCTAAACAGAACACACAACTGTTACAATGGTGAAAAGCTGTAAAATGATGCAATGACAATGCACCTGTTTGTGTAAAATGTTAAACGTTTCTCTTTACCCGATTTTCATCTAGGTATAATCCCAAAAACAAATGTGCATATTTATTTCTCTAATTTTATTTATTTTTTTACAGCTACAAAGAAAACGCTGTGAGRCTGTCCAGAATCCACCACGACAGACCCATGAGTCCTCTGGATGAGGCAGTTTTCTGGATYGAGTTCACCATGAGACACAAAGGAGCAAAGCACCTGAGAGTCCAGGCCCACGAGCTCACCTGGTACCAGTATCACAGCCTGGATGTCCTGAGCTTCCTCCTCACTGTAGTTCTGCTTCTCATCTTCATCTTCATCAAGACCTGCAGCTTCTGTTTCCAGAGGTGCTGCGGCAGAAAAAAGACAAAGAGGAAGGCTGAATAATAGACTAAAATATTTATTCTAAAGAGCCAATAGGTGAATTTAAAAAATATAACCTGGCACGAGCACTTGACATCCTTCAAATAAGTTAGGTTTGCTGACGAGTCACCTTTTTTTTGTTTCATTTGCTGACAGGTGTTCATTTGCATATCTGCACCTGAGGTCTATTTAGCATTAAAAAAACTGTATTTTAATTGGCCAGTGATGACAAACAAGACACACCCACTCAGATTTGATTATGCATTTATTTGGGAACTATTTGTAGCAATCCAAGTTTTAGGGTCATCCCAAAATTTCATACAGACATGGAAACCAAACTTTAAATCATATTTTTACTAACAGAAAATATTTTGGGATAATTAAATTATGTAAATAAACCAACAAATAAACAGCCTTCCATGCCGTATATATAAGAGCATCACATTAATATAATATTCATGTGCACAACATTTTTTTTCATATATTAAGTGCATGGGAATTTTTCATTTTTTTAGCTTCCCATCTTCTTTCAGCCTCCACAGCATGAGCTCCATGCAGGCAGCTGCATCTTCTGCAGTGTCGTGGCCACAAACTGAGAAAAACAGCAATACATGACTTTTAACAAATGAATGCAAAGTAAAAGGTCAGCACACTCAGCAATATTAGAATGTAAGAAACCACTCCAATTTTATTATAATTATGGTTTATATTAGAAGTTTAAGCTGCGAGAGCTGTGTTGTAATTTATGATTGTTTGGGATTACAAAACCAACGCTTCTTTGATGGTGACCCACCACTCTCCTGGATAATCCTCCTGAGGTGTTCGGCTGTGAGGCTGTTCAGGCTCAGTTTGTTAGGTGGACCTAGACGGTGGGGGAAGACCACTGATGTGTCCACCACCATCCCATGAAGCAGCTACAGTGAAGAGGAACAGGTCAAACCTCAAAACACATCAATGTACTTATAGTCCCAGTGTTGGTTTACTTTTATTCCAGGTGGGGCAACAGGTCATAAAACTAATGTACTTTCATTAGATGAAAAAAAAATAAAGTTAATAAAGCCATCTTTTGCTTTTATTTCACACTCTCGTCTTACATCATCCATCCACAGGTTGCTGTACATTTGTTTGGTACACATTTGCTCAAACTGACTCTTTAATGTCTCTAAGGTTATTTTGTTGAGGCAAAAAGGTGTTCAGAGCTYGACAAGGGACAGTGTTTAGAACTGATTTGATCTTACAAATTTGTATGTAGTCCGACAGCAACTTACAGGTATAAAATCTCGTGTGAAAAAAAAAAAAAAATCAACAATGAGAAGTTTGTTGCAGTCACCTTCAGTAAACAGAGGTCTGTTTCCAGCTCATGTCCAATAAGAATGGTGTCAGCACTGATGAAGCTCAACAAGGTCTGTTGGACCTCACTGAGAGGGGTGTGATTACCTTTCAGATCCACCTCGCTGACGCCTGAAAACCTACACAAGTTTTACACAAGGATTAACAGAGAGAGTAGCAGCAGGGATATCAGGAAACAAAAACAGTCAAATAAGGAGAATAAAATAAAATAAATCATTAAGCCCAGAAAAAAAAAACATTAATGTGTAGTGGCATTTTGCTATAATGAGTATGCTTTGAAAACTGAGAAGTTTGTTTCTCTATTTTACATTCTAACAAAATAGTCTTGATGAAATGTAATTTGTGCACTTTTAGCTACTTGAAAAGCACAGGCAAACTTTAACTTTTATAACAAAAAAAAATACAAGCCATCCCTTTATGAACTCTGATTTTATCCAAATATTTTCACTCAGTACCAGTGTATAAATACATGTATGAATGAGGGAATGACTGTTGTGTGAAGTGCTTTGGAGTCCGTAGGGACTTGATAAAGTGCTATACATGTTCATGCATAGTAAGGCAGATGTCTGTAGGGGGGAAAAAAAGGGTTTTATCCAGAAAGACATAATTTAACAAATACTTGTGTTTGTTTCTCAATGACCAGAAAGTAGCACTTACTCTAAAATTCAGTCTGTGAAAGTAATGTGCTTCCAACTCAGAAAACTGAAGCAGTTATATTAGAAGTTCTATGCATTTGCTCTAATTAAATTAAATTAACTTTATGATAATAAAAGATTAAAGTAAAACTGGGTCAGGTACATATAATAGTATCCATCAGCCTCGTTCTTTGTGCACACCTTAATGCTAAATTAGATCTTTTGTCAAAGTTAATCATTTTCATTTTATTCCTCCATAACTAGAGATTGAGCCAATTAATCCAGGTTAGCTGCTGGCACTGTTCACAGGTAGCAGAAGACACCGGCCAACATCTCAACCCACAAATCTGCCATGGGATTTGATTTATCCGTTACCTGGTGTTGTAGTCKATCACCTCATTATCAGGTCTGACGAAGGTGTCATAGACAATCTGAAGGTTAGAGTTGATCACCGTCACTCTGGACAGCTCCAGACCTTGGAGAGTGTAACACTGAAGACATTCACACAACATACACTGTTGATTAAATGATTAAAGAATTCTCTGTAGTTGTGTTTCTTTTAGTTTAAAAAAACAGATTTTACCATTTCACAATCCAAGGAGTAAACCCTGGGACAGCTTGTGTCTGAGGAACATCTTGAGCTTGTAGAAACAAACCCATCCAGGCTGAGGGAATCGTGGACGTGCAACTGATAAAAGGTAAAAAGAGTTTTTAAAAAACATATGTTTTGGTAAATTTAATGGATACCGTCATTTCTCTCATTCTTAAACCATGTCCACCTTAAACACTTGACATCCAGGAGCTCCCATGATTCCCTGACAGCAACTGTAGCGGGTCTCCACTCCACCTGGCACTGAAAGTTTCAAAACATTGTCCACGTTCAACTAATGTATAAACCTCTGTTCAAATAGAACATTATTTTCTCAGTGTTTACAAGTATTACAGCACAAAACTACCACATTTAAATAAATTAAGAAAACCAGTTTAAGCATTTTTTAATAAACTGGGCATCTGCGCAGTGAGGCAGATAGTGCCGACCTCTGTTTGTCACTCCTTTCCCATAATGGTAGTTGCACTCCTCTTTGCGGACGTGTTTGCCTGTATGACTCACAGAGTATGTGGCTCCACATCGACAGCAGATCCTCTTAAGGGCTTTTAGGAAAAAAAAGGCTCATTATTACCAGAGAGAAACGGGGTGAAACGTTTCTACATAAAATGCCTGTTTCATRCGCCCTCTAGTGGATAAACATGAGAACAGCAGGTATTATAGCCTGAGCGGCTGCCATCTTTTTACTTACGGTCTGCACTCATTCTCTTATCCGCAAAAAGAACAGCAGAACCAGGTTTTTCTGGATGCTGGGCAGGGTAGTTGTTCTCGGTCATCTTTTCATCAGTCAAAACATAATCTTTTAAACTTTCATACAAAGCCAAATCATCTGATGAAAAGGAAAAAAAAACACTAGTCAGATGTATAAAATGTAGACTTGATAAAATGTATTTAAAAAGAAACTACTTTTCACCATTTTGTTTCAGTCTTTTCTTGTTAAATGGGATGTTTCCTTTTGGCCTTTGACTCTGGACGTTTGTTTCACCTGTACCAGAAAGAGTGAATATGTTGACTTCATTTTAGCTTCTTAAGTTTTATAAAGATTTTGGGGGGTTTTCCTCACTTTTAGCAGCAACATTTTGACTCCTCAGCCTCTTAAGTGCATTCACTGCAACGCTCATATATTTAAGTTTGTTCACGCTGCGGTTGTACACACTTTTCTCCTCAGCCAGGGCCTACCGATAAGATGTCAGTAATCAGGTTTGTCAGTGAAGAGGACATTTAGAAACATAACGTGCTCACCTTCGCAAAAGCATCGTTGACGTTGGACGTGGTTTTGAGAAACTCCTCGGTRAACTTGTTTACGTAACACTGACGAACATCATGGGGAACTTTGTCCTTCGCAGCCTCAGAAGACTGCTTCAGCTTTCGCTTACCAGGCTTTGGCTGAAAGATTTAAATTATTTTTAATAGATTTTAAAAAAAAGACCAATTTATACCAGACCCGCAACAGTTTGCTTGTACCTTAACAGCTGTCTGGACAGGAGCTTGAGAAGTTGTGGGAGCAGCTGTTGTGTGTAAAGTCGATGCAAAAGCAGGGTTGAGTGTAGGCCTTCTTGCAGGAGCTGTAATGAGCACAGGTGCTGCTGAACGATATTTTGGCAGGGCTGTAACCACAGGTGGAGGGTTGGGCTGTCTGACTGGGATGGGACTCGGATGCACTTGAGTCACCGGATTTAGCACTGATGTAACTGGGCAGGAGGTGGAGGCGACAGACAGAGGGAAGTTACCCTGTGGGAGGATCAAGTGCAAGTTGTTGCCTACTTCAATGACTGCAGTTCCCACAGGGATGTAGTTCAAATAAGCTGTGGATGAAGCAAAAAAAATGTATGCAGGTAAAATACATCCAGGCAAAACTGCAACCATACATCAAAAGAAGAGAATAACGCAGATCGAATACATTAAGACTGCAAATTATTTTACACCAAATCATAAATGGTGCTTACCAYTCTGTAATGGATCCGGTTGAAGGTTTACAGGACCTGGAGCAGAAGGTGCACTTTGTGTCTCTGGCTTCTTCTGACTTGCAGAGGAAACAAAAGCCTGACCAGCTTTAACTGAAGTAGTCAGCATGGAGGCCCTCTGGTGTACCTGCTGGATCTTAGAAGGGACAAAAGGCCAAGAACCAAATCCTGCTGCTGGCTCCTGAAGAGGCACCAGCACTTGGGGCTGAGGTCTTCTTTTAGCAAGTGGCTGTTGAATGGATAATAAATCCAAATCAAAATATTTTAAAAAGGGATCCATGATTAGTTGTAACATTAGACTTTATTTGACTTAGATATATTTTAACTGTAACATAAAGACTGTAAAAATACTGTAGGATGTTTAGTTTTTATAACTTTTAAAATAAAAGTTTAAAAATATATTACACGGACGGGGCAATTTTATTTACACACAAAGCATTCTGGGTAAACAATGACATGGATAGGTCATCGGTGCGAGGCTGCTAGCGAGCTATATCCACTCTGAAGGTTAATCTTGGACAATATCTGATGATCGACTCTTTTAAATGAAACCAGAGAGCGTTGACAGAGTGGAGAAGGTAGAAATGACTCAGCCTGGAACTGAAAATATGGATGGAGGACAACAGAGCTGCTTCATGGAAAAAGAACCACAGCTTAGCCTTTAGCCCCGATGCTATCACCATAAATGTATTAGCTCTACACATTCTCCTCTCATCACTGAGGTCCTCCATCCACATGACAGAGAGGGGAACACAAAAATGACTCAGCTGCAACTGAAAATATGGATGGAGGACCTCAGTTTAGCTTGGTCGTCGCGCTAGCACTGAGCCAATACATATAAGGCAATATAGCGTCGGCGCTAGCTTGAAGGCTAACAGGCTAAGCTGAGGTTCTTCTTCCATGAAGCAGCTCTGTTGTCCTCCATCCATATTTTCAGTTACAGGCTGAGTCATTTCTACCTTCTCCTCTCTGTCAACGCTCTCTGGTTTCATTTAAAAGAGTCAATCAGATATTCTCTAAGATTAACCTTCAGGGTGGATATCCATGTCATCATTTACCCAGAATGCTTTGTGTGTAAATAAAATGGCTCCATCTGTGTTAAAATATATTTTAAAAAATTTACAAAACTACACAGCCTACAGTATTTTTTAAGTCTATTTATTTTACAGTTAAAATATTCGTTTATCAACTAAAGTCTAATGTTACAACTAATCGTGGATCCCTTTAAAGATAAAAAAAAAGGAGTAGTGATGTCAAATAAATGTAGCTTATACCTCTAGATTTGTGGCTTCATGAGCCACTCTCTTCTTCCCGGGCAAAGCTTGGAGGGCAGTGTTGACCTCTGGCTTCATAGCATCCACATCAGGACCAGCCTAAAATGTTTTTTGTTTTTAAACTGAGTGAACACATCTCTACTGCGGAACAAACTGCATCCATAGCGTACTTACAGAAACACCAGGGTGCTCCTCATTTCTGTTTTCCTCATGTTTTGCTTCCATGAAGATCCTGTAGCATTCCTCCATTGGATCACTGTCAGAGAGCTCCATGTCTGCACAGTCGAGTTCTTCCCCGTTTTCCTCTTCGTCCTCATCACAGCTGGAGTCGATTATTATCACGGACACTTTTTCTGTCTCCGGAAACTGCTCTGTGGCTTTAGATGATTCAGCTCTGCTGTGTGAGTTTACGGATGATGAAACCTTCTGAAATGAAACCTGACGTGCTTCTGCTTGCTCCTGAATCAAAGTACATTTCCTTTGCACCTTCCCTTGTGTTTTGCTTAACATTTTCTGACTGTTTTGCACAACAGATGACTCGGAACCGCTTTGAACCTGGTCTAGAGCTGGCTGCTCTACCAAGGTGTATTGCTTAGTTGGCTGTTTTGTAGGTGGACTATTTGCAGCTAGCGGTWTATAAAGACGAGAATTACTGGGTGGCTGCAGAGAATTTATTTTCTCAACACTACTGGCTGATTCAAGATGACTGTTGTGGCGTTGTTTGTCTGATTTGATAGGAAAATTTGTGTTTTTGGAAGTTTTCACTCCTGTTTTAGCAAAATGAAAATGAGCATTCTGACACTCAACTTCAAATTCTTTTAAACATCCAGCTAAATCAACTTCAGAGTCTTTGCTGTCATCACAAGTGGGCGAGTCTCGATTGTTTTCAGCTGCACAAGGGTCATACGTTTTATTCATGTTGTCCTTTAAGGAAGGTGAAACAGCAACACTAACCACCTCGCTCAGTGGTGGAGAATTAAGTGTAGCAGCCTCAGTTTTCACCTCCTTTGCTTCTCGTTTCTGGACCTGAGAGGATTTAACTGAAACAGATTTCTGGCATGGACCACTTGCTTTCTCCGGTGACAAAGAAATATCAATAACCAGGACGCAGTCTTTAGTAGACTCATTGAGGGCATCTGGAGATGGTGATCGGGACATTTGGGCTTGATGAGTGGACGGCTTCTTCTGATCAAAACGCGCACAACTCGATCTCGTCGCTTCTCGATTTTTCCCTTTGTGCTCTTTGCCCGGTGAGCTGTAGGAGCGCAAGGCAGCGGAGAAGTTGGACAAGGGGTCGTACTCTAAATCGGTCCTTGGTTTCGAGTTGTCTACCACGTACTTCCTCGCTTGCACACTGGTTTTACGATCTTTGCTCAGAGGCAGCCCACTGGTTTCACACTTTGAGACGGGGGCGTCGCCTCTGCTGTCAGCCTGTTCAGTCTGGTAGCTCGACAGGCGCCTCTGCTCCTGCTCCACCTCGTGCCTCACGGTTTCAATCTCTTTGTTGATTCTCTCCAGCTCATAAAGGCACTCGTCTGTGGACTCATCCTTCACCGGTGTTCTACGTTGTCTGCCATTACCTGTTAAAAGCATAACATTAAATAGGGCTTAGAATTACTGACAAGGTTGCAGCGGGTTATTTGTGACCCATCACATCGAAATGAGGATTACACCAAATATAGAGTTTTGATTRAAACGTTTGCAAAAAGTGCATTTTGTAAAAGCAGAATGAATAAATGCCTTATCTATCAATACATCATTTGAATGAACTGTCTGAAATATAACCATAAAACAAAAATTTTAAGCACCTTTTTGAGCAGTAGCAAAAAAAGAAAAAACTGCAAAAACGCCTTAAAATTTTGAGATTTTCCCTGTGACCTAGATTTTTTTTCCTCTCCCATTCCAGCTGGGAAATCTCAGTATCCATCCATCCATTTTCTTCCGTCTATCCRGAGTCGGGTCGCGGGGGCAGCGGCTTCAGAAGGGAGGCCCAGACCTCCCTCTCCCCAGCCACTTCTACCAGCTCCTCCAGGGGAACTCCAAGGCGTTCCCAGGCCAGCCGAGAGACATAGTCCCTCCAGCGTGTCCTGGGTCTTCCTCGGGGCCTCCTCCCAGTGGGACGTGTCCGGAACACCTCACCAGGGAGGCGTCCAGGAGGCATCCTTACCAGATGCCCGAGCCACCTCAACTGGCTCCTCTCGACGTGGAGGAGCAGCGGCTCTACTCTGAGTCCCTCCCGGATGACCGAGCTTCTCACCCTATCTCTAAGGGAGAGCCCAGCCACCCTGCGGAGGAAACCCATTTTGGCCGCTTGTATCCGGGACCTCGTTCTTTCGGTCATGACCCAAAGCTCATAACCATAGATGAGGGTAGGAACATAGATCAACCGGTAAATCGAGAGCTTCGCTTTCTGACTCAGCTCTCTCTTCACCACGACGGACCGGTACAGCGCCCGCTTTATAGCAGACGCTGCGCCAATCCGCCTGTCGATCTCCCGCTCCCCTCTTCCCCCATTYGTGAACAAGATCCCCAGATACTTAAACTCCTCCACTTGAGGCAGGACGACCCCGCTGACCCGGAGAAGGCACTCTGCCCTTTTCCAGCTCAAGACCATGGCCTCGGATTTGGAGGCGCTGAGCCTCATCCCAGCCACTTCGCACTCGGCCGCGAGCCGCTCCAGCGAGAGCTGCAGATCACTTTCCGATGAAGCCAACAGGACCACATCATCCGCAAAAAGCAGAGATGCTATCCTAAGGCCACCAAAACGGATCCCCTCAACACCTCGGCTGCTCCTAGAAATTCTGTCCATGAAAGTWATGAACAGAATCGGTGACAAAGGGCAGCCTTGGCGGAGTCCAACTCTCACCGGAAACGAGCCCGACTAACTGCCGGCAATGCGAACCAGACTCTGACACCGGTCGTACAAGGACCTGACAGCCCATATCAAGTGGCCCGGTACCCCATACTCCCGGAGAACCCCCCACAAGGCCCCCCTTGGGACACGGTCGAACGCCTTCTCTAAGTCCACAAAACACATGTAGACCGGTTGGGCGAACTCCCATGCACCCTCCAGGACCCTGCTGAGGGTGTAGAGCTGGTCCAGTGTTCCACRACCAGGAHGAAAACCACACTGCTMTTCCTGAATCCGAGGTTCGACTATCCGACGGACCCTCCTCACCAGGAAATCTCAATATTCAAATAATATTTGAAGTTTCCTCTTTATAATGAAATCAAAAATTCCTCAATAAAATTACATAAAATTTGGATTCAGACAAAATATTATTGTATTTTGTAACCAACGAGAAAAATTAAGTCATATCTCTAGATCCACTCATGGTGTCAGAATGATCCAGGTATTAAAATGTAGCTTTTAAAGCCAGAAATCTGAAAATGTGATTAGGTCATTTTGACTTAATCCTCATTTCGATATGATGGGTCACATTTAAAAAAAAGACAGCAACATGTTCGTACTTGAAACAAGGCAAACAGCAAAGGCCAAAYCTTAAAACCCATATTTTAGTTCTCAGTTAATATAAAATTCACTCACAAACTATTTTATATGACAAATGCAAACAATTCAGCATGTTTATCAGACCATTTTAACTAAAAACACTTAAATGCAGGCATCTAAAYACTTTTACTTTGTGCAAGGTTTTGATTGTGGCCTTTTAAACCAAATGAGCAAAATAAAAGCAAAATAAAAATTCAAAAAGTTTTTAAATTGATTTAAGGCAATATACTTAATTTTATGTGCCCTTATTTGCCAATTTTCATAGACTGTCGTGGAGATGAGCCTTTTATTCCAAAACTAAATCCCTATATAAAATTATTTAAAAAAAATAAATAAAAGAAAGACTTCCCTATGACTGGCCTTCATATTCTCTATTAAACGTCATAAAATGTGATTTAAACAGGACACACAACTTGAGCTAGCATTAAACTCTCTAAGCTAACACACACACCTGACGTGATTTAACGTCACTGACCTGTTAAGTCCACGACGGACGACGATTTAAACAAGCCACCAAACGTATTCCACGATTCTGTGACATGTTTGTACAAACAGTGAGGCCGCTCACAAAGCCCTCGTTGTACGAAAGGACAGCTTATGTGAGCAAAAAGACCGGACGAAGGAAACATTGGCAGAGACGATGTTCAAAGGCCTTGATTGACCGCTGTCCCTGAAACTTGAGGTCGACGTCAGCCCAGTTTATATAGCTTTTGTCAGGGTCGCGAGACGATCGATAAACAATTGTTTATTTTATTATTTTTAATGTATWTTGTTTATAAAACAAAATAATTTTATAGAAATTCATTTTAATTCTCGAATATTGTTTTTAACACATCTGGTGTTTATTTTTTATTTTTTATTTTTTTTGAGTGAGCGTCTCGCAGTAACTCCTCCCTGTCGGTAGGTGGCGCTGCTGATCTGTGGCGCAAACGTGATGCRAAACTTCCAGTAAACAAAAACAGTGGCGTTTCGTGTAAACTCAGTAACTTTGACGTTTTAAAATGAATAGTAGCGAAAATGAGATGGAAGAGGACGAAATCGATTGGAATGACTCGTTCGTGGATTCAACAGCACTTTGCTCCGCCATGTCTGCAGCTGCTTCTGGTAAATCTGGAACTGGACGCTGCTGATTTTTAGTTGTCATTTTAGCTTTGGACTGGCATGTCATTTTTGTTTTTATAAACAGGCCCATCATCAGGACCTGCACACAGAGTCATTCTTCATTTTGACCTGGACTGCTTCTATGCACAGGTGGAAATGATAAGAAATCCAGCTCTGAGGAATGTCCCTTTAGGTAAACTGACAGAAGATCATGAAAAAGAAACATTGTTGTGTTTATTTACTTTTTAATTAGGGTCCAACATGTTTCGATGTATCACCAGGTATTCAGCAGAAATACATCGTAGTCACCTCTAATTATGTGGCAAGGGAGCGGGGCATCACAAAGCTGATGTCTGTTACTCATGCAAAAGAGAAATGCCCTGAGCTGGTGCTGGTTAAAGGAGAAGACCTGACACACTACAGAGAAATGTCCTATAAAGTCACAGGTACAGCAGGGAACCAGATGCTACTGATTATTTAGAGAAAGCAAGAAAATTAAACCTTAAAGGGGGAGTATTGTGTTTTTTTTAACCACAATAAGTACCTTCAGTTGTTCTGAAATAGCTATATATTTAAAAAATAAAATTGACTTTCACATCCAAAGGCCTTAAAATTGTCCTCTGTCTCTTGCTCGGCTGCACACTGAGCTACAGGGAGGAGCTTTGTACAAATAAGTCGTGCTTTGTACTAGCATAGGTAGCTCCACGTGGCTACCACAGGGGATTCAAAGATTTCTCTAACATTCACATGAGTCAAAGCAACCTAGTTTTTGATGAGGAAATTATTTATAACATGATATAAAGCTCAAAACCCCCCTTTAAAGTGTCAAAGCAAGACAAAATTCCAAAATATGCCTACTTACAAGAATAAAACCTTGTTGTTTTGACAAGGTTTTAACTAAATGACTCATTCATGCTGTCTAATATACTTGCTCACCTTGCCTTACCTTTTCCTGCCCACCTTCCAGAGCTGCTGATGTCCTATTGTCCGCTGGTRGAGAGGCTCGGATTTGATGAAAACTTCATGGATGTCACAGAGATGGTGGAGCGAAGGCTTGCGCAGACGACAGATCCTGACAGCTTTTCATTCAAAGGAAACGTCTACAATCATTTCAGTAAGTCCGATCTCTGCTTCTTGTTCGTAGCCGGCACATCTGGCTCACTRAAACTGAAAAACGACTCAAAATATTTGCATGGCGCTTTCAGTTTCACATTACCAGTTTAACTCTAGATCCTGTTTCAGGTTGTTKTTTTKTTTKTTTTGTTTTGTTTTTTTTATATCTACACTTTTGATTTCCTGTTCAGGTGCAGAGGTTAACGCCAGTGACCACCCGAGGCTGGCTTTAGGTTCACACGTTGCAGCGGAGCTGAGAGAAGCTATCCACGGCAAACTTGGCCTGACCGGTTGTGCTGGCGTCGCTGCCAACAAGCTGCTGGCCAAGCTTGTTTCAGGCRCCTTCAAACCAAATCAGCAAACCGTTTTACTTCAGGAGAACATCGACGACATGATGGGCAGCTTGAGTGGCCTCCGGAAAGTACCTGGTACACAGGCTGATGAATCAGCAACCGATGTTCTCATTTATAGGCTTTAAACAAGTCTATTCTGCCCCTGCGTGATTTTATCACTGATTTTAGTTACTTTTAAAAGAGTTTAAAAGTTGAAGTTGAATTTTTTATTTTTTTATGTTTGTAGCACTGAGATTTTTTC